CACACACACACACACACACACACACACACACACAAACACACAGACCTCCCCCCCCCTCTCTCTCTCACACACACACCAGTGAGGCAGGCAGAAGGCGGAGGTCAGCAGTGTCAGGCTCCCATGGCGTCATTACTGACGCTCGCATTCCAGCCGCTGTATGAGAGGCCGCTAGGGTTCCTCTGGCATAAATGACGTGCGGCGAGGAGAGAAAGGGGGAGCGGGCGCGCGCTCCGAAGCTTCCTTCCTCCCTCGCTACTTTCCTCGCTCCCTCCCTCCAGCTCTCTTAGAATCTACGAGGGCGGCTGCGAGCCCTCCAGAGCTAGCTGGTGTATATAAACAAAGGCACATTGCGCCTGCTTGAGCTCTCCTTAAAGACCCAAGTTCTTACCGCAGCAACTAGCAAGAGACGCGGCTGTTCTCTACTACTGCTAACCACCTTCCCTCTTTTTTTCATTTCTCTTCCCTTCCCTTCAATGCCTCAGGAAAACTCATTCTCCAGGGCTGGAGCGTCCTCGAAGCCTTGCGCTTTTTTTTCCTCTTCAACGTCTCGGGATAGCGCTCGCTGGCTGTCGTTTTGAGGGAATAAAGCGTTTGGCAAACTACATGTAAAGACGGAACCACCACAGAAACCGAGTAGGTATACAATGAATGGGATGCTGGAGGGGAGGGGCGATACTTGAATAAAGTTTGGATACTTTCGATCAAGGCAAATGTGGGCATGGGACCAGAGCCTCTGCCTTTCCGCAGCAGTGCTTGGTAAAAGAGTAGAAGAGTCAGAACCGAGTCCAGAAGTTGGAGCTACAGACTTGAGGTGTGAGATTTTGGTAAGCTTCGGCAAAGTGGGGGAGGAGTGCTCTTTCGCTTGCTCTCGGCCGGCGTCGCTTTTCTTCTCCGCGGCTTGCAGTTGTCATGGGAATGATGCTAGAGGGCTTGCCCACGCCGCCGTGATGAATGGCAGCAATTTGTCCTCGTCCGGAGCTACCGGAGATCAGCGTCCTTTCAGAGAAATATGTGCTTTTGCCCTTTTGCTGAGAGTTTTTGTGGCGAGAGCGTGGTTTCGGCCAAAGGGTGAGCCAGGTTTAGGGAGAGAGACTGACAAAAGACAATAGGGCAGTCTGGAGAAGAAAGCAATGCTTGTTGGAGGAGTTGGCCGTGGAAGTTGCTGGGGGTTTTTTTGCTCGTGAAAGGGGAAGAAGGAAGTCAACAGATTTCTCCTGCTCCTGGCTCCATCCTTGACCCTTTTCAGCGGCTAGCGCACCAGGAGCTCGCACGTGCAAAAAAGATTGAGAGGAGCCATGAAGGCGCCGCGGAGATTATTCCAAACTTTTCTTATCAGATCAAGCGGTGAAAGTCGCTGCATTCCTACCCCTTTTTTGATAACTGTGCTGGAAGATGACATTTTACTAAACGAAGCATGTGGCGAGATTCCCTTATGCTGATCCTCAATGCCTCTTTCTAGCGAGCTGAATCCTAGAAGCTGAGTGAAATATCTGGAGATGCAGAGAATATCTGCTTCATTGTTAAATACAGTTGGAAAAAGGAAGTAACTTTACTGTTTGGAATATTGTTTGAATCCTAGTATTGCTTCTTCTACAGGTGTATAGCTAGAGAGATTTGCTGTTCTAAGGGAAAATCATTTGAGAGGAAAGAGGAAACAATAATCTCAGAACACCTGTTTGATACCACTTTTGAACCTTGAAAGTTACTTTGAAATAAGTACTCATGACCATTACCAAAAGTGAGTCTCTGCCCAGTCATGATTTTCACCTCTCCTTAAAATTAAACTATGAAATTGCAGGGGAATTGTAGCTATTATTATTAGCTATATATAGACATGATATAGTAAATTATAGGGCTTCCAATTACATTATCCATGGTCTTAATACCACTTTAAAAGAGGAGAGAATGGTAATTTGGTGTTTTTTCTTTTGTATTGATGTCGCCTATGTTCCATTCTTTTAAAAACCTTAACCAGATCCTTCCTTTTTCTGTTAGTATGATAAACTGACAGAAAATACATTGGATTAATTGGTTCCTAAGGGAATTACAAAAATAGAAAAAAATAGTTTGGGAATGCAAAGAAATTACAAAGATTGTGATGATTAGTATTTTGCTGTCTGTATCAAATGCAAACATTCTGGAATTGTAAACTAATGGAATAAATGGTGCAATGGAACTATTTTAGGGAAAGCACCTATTGAAATAGTTGAGCAAACTCATGGATAAGGAGTCAAAGAACTTTCTTCTTTGATGACAAACAAAATTAAAATTATTAAGAGATGCAGTCCCCAACTGATTCACAATTATAGGAAGGGTGTGAGGATGAGGTTCAGAGCATTTCTCAAGGCACCTTCAATAAGATGGAATTTGAGAAGAGAGTCATTTAGCATTTCAGGTGGTATTTCTACACAACAGAGGTTGCTGGACTGAAATGATTTGCCAAAAGCATTGGTGATTTATATCTGAAAGGAGGCTATCAAATATAGTCACCTGGCCTTGCTCTTCACTATCAGAGCATGAGATCATCAATGGTTAATGCAGGGAAGTAATGAGATATTCTCAGAATGATCCATTTTCTCTTTGTTTCCTTTGGTATAGTGAAAATTGTGCATGAAAATGTGAAGATCCAGTTTTCAGAAGCAAAAAGCTGCTGCCCACTATGAACCTACTGAAGCTATTCTTTTCTTGTCTTACTATTGTGAGAAAAACTATGGGCAAGTTAACCAGTCTGTCCTGTCTACTGTTGACTTTGAGCTGACCCTATTCAACTCAATAGGATTTAGGGCCAAACTATATGCCAAGACAGTTTGATGTACATGCATCAGCATTAGTCTGTGCAGCTCACAGTGTATTTGGAGCTGTGCCTTTCCCAGGTTTTTGGTTCTGGAAGTCAACTTAATTGTAGAGTTAAACACTTTTATTTACAGGGGAAGAAAATGGAAATAAATGTGTGAAATCTTCAAGCAGTAACTAGAGGATATTTGCCTTGTGATCTAATGATACTTGTTTTGGCTGCTTCAGATTAATCCCATGATTTCATGTAGGGACAGTTGTTAAATTTCTAGGAACACACATTTGAAGACTGCTTCTAAATGTACATTTGAATTTGGTCTTTCATCCGATTCAGAGGTTAAGGGAAAGTTAAATTTCTTCAGCTGCTGTTTCCGATGTCTATTTGTTTAGGTCTTGGGAATCCAAACTGTTCAGGAGCTTTGGAGATTACGTGTAAATGATTTCTAAAGAGTAGGAACCAACTCTCTGTCTGTCTGTCTCTCTCTCTCTCTCTCTCCCCCCCTCTCTCTCTTTCCCTCTCACTCTGTCTCTGTCTCTCTCTGTGTGTCTCTCTCTCTCTTTTCTCTCTTTTTTCTCTCTTTTCTCTCTCTCTCTCTTTGTCTCTCTGTTTCTCTCTCTCTCTTTCTTCTCTCTTTCTCTCTCTGTCTCTCTCTCTTTCTCTTTCTTCTCTCTCTCTCTTTGTCCCTCTCTCTGTTTCTCTCTCTGTGTGTGTCTCTCTTTCTCTCAGAACCCAGGTCGGAAAAACCCTCTCTCGTGAGCCCTGGCTCCAGACACAACACTGTTGAGGAGGGATCACCATCACCATCACCACCTACGCTTGCTCCAGCAGCAGGAGCAGCCTCAGCCACCATCCTGTCGGTTACACCCACCATTCAACAAGCAAGCCACTCTCCAGGTAAAAAGCATTGTTTGCATTTATCCCTAGTCGGGCAGTTGCTTCCTTCCTTCCTTCCCACTAATGATGTTTTGCAAAGCTGAATTCATAAATGAACTAATTGCTTTGGAAAGGCAATTTTTAAAAGCATTATTTTCTCTGAAACATTTTCTATGATATTCAGAAATAGATGTTAAAATTTTGGAGATGAGATTATCTTCCTTTAGATCAAAAAGAATTTTTTTCTTGAGAACAAATTTCTCAACCAAATGTCAGGTTATAATGTTTAATTTTTTGTTAAACCATACTGTTATCTAATTAACATTAGAAATACTATGTTCCTATAAAATACAATTTTAAATATCAAACATTATTTTTCATTCAGTTTTTGAATAGACAAATTTGAAATAATTTAGTACTTTTTTGCAATTGCTATTAGTTAAAATGTGATAATATTAAGCAGTTTCTATATGAATGTTTTTGTTTCATGTTTTAATTATTTTATTACAAATAGAAATTAGGATGTAAGCATATTTGTTTTTCAAAATAAATAGACTAGTCTATACTTTGCCTAAATGTTCTGTCATATTTCATAAACATGCAATATATATTTTGCCCTTTTCTTTGCAAGTTCTGTATAACTCCATAACAGCTCAAATTGAACTTTGGATTTTTTAGAGCAAATCTTTAATTCTCTTTTATCTCAAAATACTTAATTTCATTTCTTTAAGAAATAAAGAAAAAGTAAACAAAAAATCATATTTTATTTTGGGGGATCTAATTCCTACTGGTATGTTGCTCTGATTAAAGTTTATTTATTGGGATAGAAAATCTCTGCCAATAAAATATTTTTAAAATAGCATATACATCCAAGTACCAACTTTGGAAAATGCAGAATTTTCTGATCTTTATTTGAGGTATATTTTTTTTACCTCTTCCATTTCCTTTCCTCCTTTCCTTTCCTCTCCATAATATATAAAGTAAATGAAAACATTCAAGAAGCTACAATTTCTTTCAGTTTCAGTTTCTTTTCCTTTAATATTGAGAAAAAAAACACAAATCCAAATTGTTCCAATGTTGGACTTGAAATTTGTTGGGTATATTCTTCTGAAACCAGATATATTTGTTATCCTTTTCTTTGTAATTCAGTGTTGCAACACTAATAGGTTGCTATTAATGTGACAATCTCCCTACATAGAACACTTTTAATATTACAGAAAGCATGCATACCTATTAACTATGGGCCTTTTTCACTACACACATTTCACTGTAGATTATAGTGCAGCATTATTGATTGCTGCTGCAACTTTATTTTCTTAATATCCCTACTTTACCTTCTCATAAGGTAACAATACATAGAGAGTACATAGGAGTCTCCCTTAAATTTTATCTCCAAAATAACTGTGTTAAATAAACTGAATTGAGATTAACTGAACCAAAGTTTCCATGGGCTGAGGATGGAGTGGAACCCAATTCTCTCAGTCCTAATTCAGTATCTTAATTATTGTCCAGAAAGTCGAATTGCTAATTGTTGGTTACTGCCCTGCTAAATTAAAGTGATATTGTGTGACCAATATTTCTGACCAACAAATATTTTCCAAGGTACCAAACTTGTCATAATCCCCATGAGTGCAAATATTGTTAATGGAACACTATTTTTTTTACTTTTGCAGATATGCCCTGTATGCAAGCCCAATACAACCCTTCAGCCCCTTGCTCAAGTTATGCTGCTCAAACTTCTTATGCTTCAGAGTACAGTCCTGAGATCATGAACCCTGACTACGCAAAGCTGACCATGGAATTAAGTAGTGCTGAGATCAGTGCCACTGCTACCACCTCTCTGCCCAGTTTCAGTACCTTTATGGAAGGTTATTCTGGGGGTTATGAACTGAAGCCCTCCTGCCTATACCAAATGCAATCTGTCTCCTCTTCTTCATCACCTTCCTCTGCAAGCCAGAGACCCCTCATCAAGATGGAAGACAATCGGATGCACAGTTATCACCCTTCACTTTCTCTAACGGTGGATGAAAGCATGCCCAGCACCTCCATGTACTTCAAGCAGTCCCCACCCTCTACACCTTCAGCCCCTGGGTTTACACCCCAACAGACCTGGGATGAATCACCCTCACATTCTCTTTCACCAGCACAGACTTGCATGGCCCCATGCCACCTGGTAGATACTGCCTCTATGAAAACCATGCCTGGCCGCTTTCCACTTTTCCATTTCAAGCATTCACCACCCCATATACCTATTGCAGGTGGCCACATGTGCTATGATGCCACTGGCTTGAGCCTACCCATCGGATCAGATAGGCCTAGTGCTAGTCAAGCAGCTATGGAAAATCATCCATATGGGCACCCTATGTCCAAGAGAGCAGCCTCCTTAGCTTTTACACCACTGGGCCTCAATACAGCCACTTCCAACCTTCTAGGTGAGAGCAGCAGTAGCAGCAGCGGCCTTCCTTCTCCATCTAGCAGAAGTTCTTCAGCAGGAGAAGGAACTTGTGCTGTGTGTGGGGACAATGCGGCTTGCCAGCACTATGGTGTTCGGACTTGTGAGGGATGCAAAGGCTTCTTCAAGGTAAGAATTTCTGGAAGCTTTCAAAAAGAGACTGGACAGCCATCTGTCAGAAATGGTATAGGGTCTTCTGCTTGAGCAGAGGACTTGGACTAGATGACCTACAAGATCCCTTCCAACTTTGTTTATTCTATTCCATTCCATTTCATTCATTTCATTCCCTTCCATTCTAATCTTCATATGCCAATATTTGATCTTACAGCTTAGGAGAGAGAGGGGCAGCATATATATTTAATCAATAAATACATAAATGTGTATGCAGAAATAAATGGGATTAATTTTTCAATGAGTATGTGATTTCTCTACACATCTTAGTCAACCAGTCAAACACACCACCAGTTCTTGAGAGATCACAGTTTATTTAAGATGTATCAGTCCATATTGTGTCTACAGCTCTGCAGACTACATGGACACTATTGGACATATATGTCCTTGTAATTCATCAGTATTCTTTCATTGTAGCTATTCATACTAAATGCATGAGCATTTAGTACTATCAGTATTCATTATATTCATTATATTTTAAACAAGAATAAACCTTCCCCTAGGAACCTAACTATTTAATTACTGATAATAAAGGAAGACAAGAAAGAAGAAAGAAAATTTGCAGGGAGAGAAGAGGATGTAATTTAAAATTCTGTAATTTGATTTCCCTTTTTAAAATCTACATTAATCAACATGTATACTACTATTATTGTCATCCATATTCATTTATTCTTTTTATAACCTGTATTTCCCAACTTTCTCCAAGAAATGTGTAGCAACATAGAGGTTTTGGGGGTATTAAAATTTAATACATTAACTCTTTACAAGATTATAGTTAAAATAATTGCTTACTTAGCAAGTTGCTTAGGATACCAGAGCAGCCATATCATATTTATATCATCTAGAAATAAGTATAATTGAATAAATGGAGTTTATTCACAAGAAGGCATATGAAGAATTGTATCCAAAGAAGCTTACAAATGTAAACCATTGTTGCTTCTTAATAAATAACTTGGTGCTGCTTTATTCTGACCTTCAAAATAGGAGACTAAAGCTAAAGAAATTCCACAATAAGTCTTTTTTTTAAAAAAAAAAGTCATTTTGTGATTAATCTATAACCATAAAATGCAGTTTATTGTTGTGTTACTACAATGGATATGAAAATCGAGACAAATCCTCAAATTATATTTGATACTAAATAAAATATATATGAATTCTCCAAGGAAAGTTATTGATTCCTAATCTTTTATAATAAATGCCAACTAATATAGACATTTATTATCTCCTTAATAATCATGCTGTTAAACTTACCTTATGGCAAAATGTTTGGCAATTTTTGAGGATACAAAACAAGATTCTATATTAGTTTATCCTGATTGATACACTATTTTATAATGAGAATTATTTCTGAAAAAATGTATGTTGAGCTCCAGCTTTGAAGTGCCATGAATGTATGTTTTAAAGTTGTAAAGCAATACTCTTGTGGATTGTGGCATTTCTGAATGTGTGTTAATGATATTTTTGATCATGTTATTAGTTTTGTGATAGAAATGCATAAAAAGACTATAGCATGAATGCACATAATTTCTTAATTTCAGTTTTAAAAACAAAATAGCCTTAAATTTAACATCCAAACTCAATATGAGGGTAACTATAGGTCTGCTTTAACAGGCTTAAAGGGTAACCCTATTAACTAATAACTACTGTTATTATGGGTTCTTAAGATCTCCTTTAAGTATCTCTCTGTGTGTGTGTTTGTGTGTATACACATACATACATATATGCATGCATACATACATATATATTCATACACAAGCACATACACTCTAAAAAATTCATTAAACAGTTTTTCAAATATCTAATTTTAATAAATGTTAATAAGGTTTGTTTTGCAAATTATATACTTAGTGTCTGAGAAACATGTAAGTTTTCAGATTTGAAAAATGCATTTTCTGCCATTTTTTAATCACAAACAATTGTAGAAATAATACAGCTTCAAATTAAGGATGATGACACAGTAGTTGTTTTTCTAACATGAAAAAAATTCAGTAGATTTAGTAATAAATGCTTGCCAAATATTACATTTATCTTAAAATATAGAGCTGCCTAAATATAATCTATCTACAGTTAACTTATAATTTAGATTCATAGATAAATAGGCACCTGAAAAAAGTTGTTTTGCATAAGATAATAAATTTAAATAGCAAACGAATAAACAAATTCATTAAAAAACCCCATTAATAACATTAAGAAAATTGAATTTAGCTACATCATTAAAATAATTGACCATATTCCTTTTTCTTTGGTAAGTCTATGATAATAAGACATACTATAAAGATATCTTTATATAATTTATTATTTAATTTCTATACTTAGCTTTGTTTGATATCTTGTTTCTTATTTAATTAACTTATTTTGTATACGAACATAGATATAAAGAAATCAGTATTCAAATGTTTTATTACTTTACTTTATTTACTTTAGTAAGATCAGTATTCACCAATATGAACCAAATAGAAAATTATTCTCAATAGAATATTGAAAATTAATTTAATCCCCAAACCTGATAAATTTATACATTATTTTATTATCTACAGGTTGTCTATCTAGCTTTTGAGCCATGATCCTAAATTTTACTGCCAGTAACTAACACTAATGTATTGGGGGTTTTTTTCCTCAAGGAAACTGTTTTAGGGAATTAATTTTATCTACTTATAAGAAGTGTACAATTGCATTTTAATTCTGGTATATAAAAAAACAGTTGTTAAGGTCTCAGTTCATTTAGATGATCTTCCTTCCATTGCATTTTTTTAGAGAACAGTTCAGAAAAATGCAAAATATGTTTGCCTGGCCAATAAAAACTGCCTAGTAGATAAGCGTCGTCGGAACAGATGTCAGTACTGCCGATTTCAGAAGTGTCTCAGTGTTGGTATGGTAAAAGAAGGTAAAGCATTCACCAATATTAGCTCACATATTGTTAGTACCAAATAGGTTGCTTTTAAAAGGCATGGCTTTCTTATTTTAATGGTGAATTTTAGAAATAATGGTGAATGCCCTATTTCTATGTGATTCGTACATGTGTTGGAAAGCATATTAAGTTGTAACATCTTCATTCCAAATAATAAATAGATTCTTCAAAGAATCTAAGGACTCAGGCTTAACTTTTAAAGGAAGCATTTCCAAGATTTCACACAATGCTTGTTTTAAATCTTTAGACACAGGAAGGAAATTATTACATTTCATTTGTAAAATAAAATTTTGCAGTGTTCCAAACTGTATTTAATTAAAATTTTAATAAATTTAAGGTGACTGATCTGTATGCATAAAATCAGATACTAATTATTATTAATAATTATTAAAACACTCTTCTTGAATCTTTCTACAGTTTCAATGTATTATTAGGAAAGTATTTATTATTAAAGTGTATTTTATTTATGTATATTTTTTAAATTATATTTTATCATACATATCCTGCAATAACTCAGAATGAGTTTTTTATTACTTGGCATTATAGTTAAAATCATTAATGCAAACTACCCCTGGAAAAAGCCTATAACTATCTTGCTCCTACAACTATGTAGTCATATGTATTCAATTTCACATAAGCTCAAATATTACATTTTAATTGCAAATGTCTTAGGATCTTTCTAACTTATGGGAGTGTATGGAAACCTTATATTATGAAGAACTCATACACTTAAGATGAATGACGTTGTTAAATTGTTGCTATGGATTCTTTCCCCAATAACATCCATTTATATAAATGAAGTGAAACCTATTAATAATAATATGAATGTATAAAAAGATAAACACTTTTGTTGTTTGATTTTATTATTTGAGAGTGATTATGCACTGTTAACCCTATTGGGTTCCTTGTAGAAATTTTCCATGGTTCCTTTCAAGCTTGGTTGTGTTTTTGTTTTTGCTTCTTGACTAGTTGTCCGTACTGACAGTTTGAAAGGAAGAAGAGGCCGGCTACCTTCAAAACCAAAGAGTCCTTTGCAGCAAGACCCTGTGCAGCCCTCCCCTCCATCTCCTCCAATCAGTATGGTGAATGCTCTTGCGCAAGCCCTATCTGATTCTGCACCCCAGGAACTTGATTACTCCAGAGTAGGTTTCATGTTTTTCTGAATAAAATTATTTAACTAGTATTCTGGCATTTAAGTTATACATTTATAATAACAATAATCTCTTTGCAATAACAATAGTGATTTAAATACTTAAATTACATTGAAAGCCTGCTGAGAGTAATGAGGTAATTGTCCCAGGTTCCAGATATAAAAACTACTCCAAGTATGATCAAATATTTGAAACTCGGGTGAATCAATAGTTTTATTCAGGACAGTAAAGCAGTCAGTAAAACATAATTCCAAGAAGTATCTCAATATTTTCCAAATATTCCTATTTACAGAAATTCATTAACTTCAATAGAGAAAAAAAGTGCATGACTTTCTATCTTTGAGCTTCCCGTAATTAGTTAAGTCAAAACTAAAGAGATATTACACTTACTTATTTTATAGAGGCTTAAATTAAACAAAATCAAGCTATTAGATTTGGAGAGAAGATTTGGTCTTCTCATAAGAGCTGTAATTGAACCCATCCAATTTGCCTACATGGGGATACTGCTGGCATTTAGATGACACCTCCTCTTAAACCAGAGAATGAGTTTTGCTACAGGTTTCCTCTGAATGTAATGTTTCAGGGGCTTGAGCACTGTCCTCATGACCGTTGACTGGAAATACCTGCTGATATAGAAGTGTAACCAACACTTCTATCCCAAAGTGTCCCAAAGTGTCAATTCTTGAAAGTGATCTAGGAGGATTCTATTGGGCAATGTTCCTGAACTAAGACAATTTATAGGATCATGCACCCACTTGTGCATTCTAATGCAAACAAGTGACTAGAACAGTAGAAATGTTCTATGTGTATCATCACACCCCTGCCTAAAAATATTATCTCTGAGCAGAGATCATGGAAAGGCCATGACAAATGCAATAGTTTTCTAAATTGGCGATGTGAGGACTGGCCCTAGTTATTAATATTTTTATTCATTCTTTCTTGAATAAAGGTTATGTCTCTTTCGGCTTAAAGGAAAGTGCTTTCACAAGATTATTATTTTTAAAAAACTTCCTTTTTGTCTGGAAGTCCTGGAAAAATGTGTTGGTCAACCATATGAAGTGCTTAAAAAGGAGTGGCCTGATATCTCCAAATACAATTGGAATTTGTTAATCATCCATATTCATTTCTGTTGGGGGTCTCACAAAGACTGGGACTATTTTGATTATCTTAGTGAGTGATATATACTAGGAAATGAATTGGGAAAATTTAGTCTTTCTAGTTCATTAAACTCTCAACAAATTTTAAAACTATCAGACATAGTATCCATTGGTTGACTTTGCTGAGTTGGGGCCTGTTTTATATTGGTTCTCCTTTTTTCCCATCAAGACTATGACTACTGATAAGATGCTGCTTGCTGTCAGCCAGGCAGTGTCGGCTGGTGGCTCCCTGGAGAAGGGCCTTCTCTGTGGCTGCTCCGACCCTATGGAATGAGCTACCCCCAGAGATCCGGACCTTACCCACCCTCATGGCCTTCCGAAAAGCCGTTAAAACCTGGCTATTCCGGCAGGCTTGGGGCTGTTGATCTCAGTACTGAGGTCCAGCCCCGATCAGATCGGGTGCATGGTGATGTTTTAACTTGTTTTTTACTGTTTTTACTAATTACTTCTTTTGTTGTGTAAGCCGCCCGGAGTCCTCCGGGATTGGGCGGCCTATAAATCTATTAAATAATAATAATAATAATAATAATAATAATAATAATAATAATAATAATAATAATAATCCTACGCATACAATGTCTAATTTGGCTGTATGATGGTAATTTGTAAACAGGACTGATTGCAAGTTCACAATAGTACAGTGGAAAGCTATATATGACCAGACATCACACTGGTTGAGAAAAATAAGGTCACAATCATAGACATCGCAATACCAGGTGATAGCAGGGTCGCCGAGAAGGAACATGAAAAAATCGCAAGATACCAGGACTTAAAAATCGAAATTCAACGACTATGGCACAAACCAGCAGTGGTAATTCCAGTGGTAATTGGCACACTGGGTGCTATTCCAAAAGCACTGGAATTACATTTAAAACAGTTAAAAATTGGCAAAATCACCATCAGTCAAATGCAAAAAGCCGCACTGCTTGGATCTGCACGCATATTACGAAAATACGTTACGACGTCCTAGGCCCCTGGGTGGGGCCCGACTAGTAACCAATGCCAAATCCGGCGAAACAACTGGCCGCTGTGATACAATTGTATAATAATAATCCTACGCATACAATGTCTAATTTGGCTGTATGATGGTAATTTGTAAACAGGACTGATTGCAAGTTCACAATAGTACAGTGGAAAGCTATATATGACATAAATGAGCCAAGGTGGCGCAGTGGTTAAATGCAGCACTGCAGGCTACTGCTAGATCAGCAGGTCAGCGGTTCAAATCTCACCGGCTCAGGGTTGACTCAGCCTTCCATCCTTCCGAGGTGGGTAAAATGAGGACCCAGATTGTTGGGGGCAATATGCTGACTCTCTGTAAACCGCTTAGAGAGGCCTGAAAGGCCTATGAAGCGGTATATAAGTCTACTGCTATTGCTATATTGCTATAAATTGCATAGACTTGTAAAAAATGGAGGTGGCTGGTGGTAATATTACTCAAGTAAACAGTAAAAGTTTCTTTTATCTGGAAAACTGAAATGGTATATTTTATGCAATACAAGATTGCTGCTGAAAAAAGCATATTGGTGCCCGTATTTTCTTTGTGTTTCAATGTCTTGTATCACTTTATGATTATAATAGCATAGTGTATACTTTCCCATTTCAGCTTCTTGTTATTAGTTGCTGCATTTGAGATTCATGAAGACATACAGGCCATCTGAAATAAATGTATTTTGCCATAAGAAAGAAAAAAAGAAATTGGATACAAGGTTATTGACACAGCCATATAGAAATAAGTTCACAGGTGCATAAAAACCCTCTAAATTATTCTTCAAGACAGATTGATATCTACAAATGAATTATAAATAGAAATTTAAACTGGAGAGCCCTTCATCAGCATTTTATCTGGAAAAACATGTTATCCCCAAGAATAGATTTATTCTAGGAAGAAATAGTGGTTGCCTAGTTGTGTTACCAAAAGAAGAGATAGCCATTTTTGAAAGATGATGATATAAGAATTGCTTAGATCTTCCTCTGTATCTTTGTGTTAAGTAATTATTCATAAATTTCAGGTATAGACTTCACTACTTATAATACTTTCTTATCATTCAGTGCTGATCTATGTCTATCTGGAGGAAAAAAGGTTTTTTCTTTCATTTCTATTTTTAATTGCTTTTCTTCTAGTACTGTTCTACGGAACAAACTTCTGCAGGTACAGATGCAGAGCATGTACAACAATTCTACGATCTTCTCACTGCCTCCATTGAAATATCTAGAGACTGGGCAGAAAAAATCCCAGGATTTACTGATCTCCCTAAAGAAGATCAAACTTTACTCATAGAATCAGCTTTTTTGGAACTTTTTATATTACGACTATCCATAAGGTACATCTGAGATTCAATAGTGGAAAACTGATTATTTTATAATCTGCTTAAAACATTAAAAAACAAAATATTTGTTTTATGGATTTATAACTTGCAACCCAGCTTATTTATATAAATAAGCTGCTGTTTTTCCTCCTGTTAGGATATTTAGGCAAGTAGGAGTGGATGAAGCAGAATTCTGGAACAATAATCAAGCACGTTATTGGGCTAGTTTACCCATGGATTAGATTATATAGTAAAACTAATAATCAAATCTTTCATTCATCTTTCATTGAAATGAGAACATTTGCTGAAACCATTATCTTATATAACTTATGTTGAGACCTGGCTATAGGTAGTATGATTCTGTTAGTTCTCTTGAACTTTTTGGAAGCTTTAAAAAGCAACTTTAAATAGTAGTACTAGTAATATTAGAACTCTGGATAAGGGTCTGTATAAGCTTGCACTTCCCCAGAAAGAATAAAATGGAGCACTCCTCTACCCTCTATCCAATACTTCTGCATTTCCAAATGGTATGGTGCATCCTTTGAATGATTATGTTTGGTAGGCCAGTTGCAATGGTTCCTAAAGTGGTTGGATGTGCAATATTTCCTGATACCATAATTTCATCCCAATTTGATCAATGAAATGATGCTATGCTAAGGAATATTTCAGTGGTTAAATGAATATCAAATGCAGCACTAAAGCTGCTAAATGGTACAGAGTACTAAAAAGAACCCTGTTGAAATACCTGCACTGGCTCTTTATCATTTTCTGGGTACAATTTAAGATACTAGTTTTAATATTTAAAATAGCTTGGTGATCTAAGAAGCTATAACATTTATCTCAATATGAATCTATTTGGAAGACTTACTTGTGGCTTTTAGAGGTCCATTCATTGGACATATAAGAAAGAGTTTTCTTTCTCTTTGGGCTTTCACTATAGTCAAAGCCTTCCTCTTCACCAGGTCTTTGGAATTTTAATTTTAATTCCTTTTATTAGATTCTCTGTTTTCCAATTTTACTATTAGTCACTTTGAGTACCCTTGGGCAGAAGAACATGAATAATATTATTTAGCCCACTCACTGACTGGCTGACTTGATTGACCGATTGCAAAAACGCCTAATCATTTGGGAGATAATCGTTGTTATTTATATTATTATATTATTATAAAATACTAAATATTTTGTTGTAAGGATTTGATTTCATGGAAGAACATTAAAATATGTGGCTTATCTGAAATGATACTATTCAGGAATACATTTGTAACTATCAACGTAAGTGACTGGCTGAAGTTTCTGGTCCATTTAAATTCATCTTTCATTTTCTTTTATCTTCCTCTGTTCATCTACTAGCATAAGTAGAAGAACTCTCAAATTTTCACCCTAAATAGCTACAATTATGTTCAGTGACCATCCTAATAAATTGGGTGTGAGATCAGCTTGCTTTATATGCCCCAAATGTAGCATATTTCAAAATGAAAAACATATATGGATCTATGGGTAGTAATTAGATAATGTGCATTATGCAGCAGGATATATACTGAAAAGTTAGCTGTGTTTATAGAATATATTTTCTTTTTCTTTTTTTCATTGAAGATCTGACATTAGTGAAGACAAGCTTGTTTTCTGCAAAGGGCTTGTGCTTCATCGACTTCAGTGCCTTCGTGGATTTGGGGAGTGGCTTGACTCAATTAAAGATTTTTCTTTAAATTTACAAAGCCTCAACCTTGACATCCCAGCCTTAGCATGTTTGTCAGCTCTAAGTATGATTACAGGTTAGTATTTTTTTAAAATTCAAATTAAATTTGTTCTTTGGATGTTTATATTCCACTATATGTAAGATGGAGTAAATTTCCACCTTTATACATTTTTAATAAATTCCAAAAAGACTGTATGTCTGCAATATAATTCAATGAATTTTAATATAAAATTACATTAAAATACATTATATCTTTTCAATAATCAGACTAAAAAACAATCAAAATTGCAATATGGTGTATAATTTATATTAAAGATTCAACTGAATTCATGTTGCTACATTTTCCAGGATGTCACAGCACCATTAATATAATATTGTAACTGATGAAATATTTTATTGCGTATCCTCAGCCTGAGCTACTGCTGGTACAAGGCTTTAGTTAACTTTATGACCATGTGGTTGATCCTCCCTCTGACAGTCTTTAAGAAGGTCCTGGAGACCTAGTTATTCTCTCAGGAATTTGACCGGGGTGTCAGATATCCTTAACTAATATGACTATACAATATGACTTGTGGTCTTGTGGTCATGTGGTACAATATGTTTTTACTTTATTGTGTGTTCTTATTTTTATCATTTTCCATGTATTTAATGTTTTGAATACAGTATTCATGTCTTTTCTTTTCTTTTTTGCTATACAGACATATTTGGCAAGTGGGTCAGGGGTGAAATGCTACCGGTTTGTCCACATAGATAGTAAAACAATGCTAAAAAAAGTTTTTAAAAAAGTTCCAGCGATCACGCAGTACAGCTAATAGTTGGAACCTTTTTTTTACTTTTTAAAGCATTTTTGGTTCTTGTGAAGCAAATCGGTAGCAGACTTCAGAGCATTTCACCCCTGAAGTGGGTGATATACATTTATTTTAACACACCCCCACACACATACAGAGACTTATATAAAAGCAAATCATTCAGAAAGAACACTATTGGAGGAAAGCAATTGAGAGAAGCTTTCCTGGAACAGAAAGGTAGGGAAGCACAGCAGCAGAATTGTCCAATGGGTACATATAAAATAAAATAAAATCAGTATGATTTTCATGATGTTGCCAAACTGGACAATATTTGGCAGGATTTTTTTTCAGATGCTTAGAATTAAGCCAGTATGAGCAATATGATAGGAATAGCTTAAGCTTTAAGTCTCCTCAAAGGAAGATCCTCAAAGGAAGATATTTCTTGAAATCTGCATTTAAATAAGACTTGTAAATATTTTGCTCCAAGATTTTATATATATGTATATGTGTATGTGTGTGTATGTTTAGTTTAGTTTAGTTTTAGTTTTATTATTATTTATAATAATAAACACACACACACACAGAGTAATATAAACTTTATGTTAGTTTTATATCCATCAAGGATGTTGCACATTGCGCAAGGGGTGGCGCTTCAATTGCAATACTCCTGATATCAGTCTGATCACTTCTCCTTGCCCTCTCAAAAGACACCACTGATACTAAGAATCCTGAGGTTGTATTTCATGTGGGAAGGTGTGAATTTGCCTCCTTGTAGTGCACCTTGGGTAGCGCAACAGTGTGAACTAAACGAACTAGCAGCCAGACTTGTCTGTAGATTATCCTGACCAGTGATGTGCAGTCAGGGGAGGCAGGGCCTCACCACTGTCATCATGAAAAGAAAAAAAATGTAAAAGGAACAAAGGCTGAGGTAGTTGCTGCCAGAGTCACAGTGGATAACTCTGCTTAGTGCTTAACTGTTTAAAAAAGCCTCTATAAAAGTTACCGCTACAGGAGGAGGCGGGAGAACCACGTGCCTCGTTTAATCTATCTTTATGATCACTTGAGCAGAGTTAAGTAAGGGTTAAAAGCCGAAAAATTCCTTATGTAGATGAGGCAATTGATTCTCTTGCCTCCTCCTGTAGAGGGCATTTTTTTAGAGGCTTTTTTAAACAGTTAAGCAGAGTCATCCATTGGGGACTCTGGCAGCAGTTAGCCAAGCCTGAGCTCAGCAGCTCTTGCCTTTTTCCTTTTACATTTTTACATTTTCATCATGGCAGACAAGAGCAGAGTTGAAATCCTCTGTGAAACAGCTGGAAAAGGTATGTGGGTCGGAGGGAGGGTGAGGAATTCAAAATTAATGTAATTTGTAAGTAATTGTATTATTGTAAGTAATTTGTGTATGTGTGTGTTTTACCCGCCTCTGCTGGCGCGTGGGCTGGCACTTTTTTTTAATGTTGGACATAGCGGCAGGGCTTTTGGACATAGCAGCAGGGCTTTTAAACATAGCAGCAGGGCTTTTGGATGCCTCGGCGCTATGTTCGACATAGAGGTGGGATGCCTCTATGTCGGACATAGCGGCAGGGCGGCTTTTGCCTCTAGCGGCAGGGTGGCTTTTGCCCGCTTTTAAGAAAGCTTTCTTGAAAGCGGGCAAAAGCTGCCCTGCCGCCCCGGTGCTATGTCCGACATAGAGACAGGACGCCTCTATGTTGGACATAGCGGCAGGGCGGCTTTTGCCTCTAGCGCCAGGGCAGCAGTGGGCCCTGCCGCCCCGGCACTAGAAGTAAAAGCCGCCCCGCCGCTATGTCCAACATAGAGGCGTCCTGTCTCTATGTTGGACATAGCGCCGGGGCGGCAGGGCAGCTTTTGCCCGCTTGCCTCACCACCAACAAAAACAAAAAATGAACCTTTTCAGGCCCAAATGATAAGAAAGATTGGTAATATTATATGAATTTGCCAAATCAATGTTGGGGGGCTCAGCAGAACCAAGAGCCAACATGTTTCCAAACTTTTATTGGCCATCCTCCAAGAAACACACATAGAATGAAGAATATAACTCAAAAGAGGCAAGATTCATGACTACAATCTGTTGGGAGACATTTGCCACCATGACTCTGGTGTTGCTACATATGTCAGAAGGAATGTAGCGAATGCCTCCTTATTGTCTGCTACTACAAACAATAATATCAATGGAGTAGTTTTCAAACTAGGCAATCTAATAGTAGTGAACATTTATAAATCACCTCCGACAGCATGACCACAGCATGTCTTGAATATCAAATTGCATCCAACAATTCACCCAAGTGACTTCGGTAGCCATCAAATTAATACTTTTTCACTGATGACAATGGCGAACAATTGTCCAACTGGACTGAAGCAAAGTCCAACTTATTTTTGTCACTAAAGACAAAGGCATGTTTAAATCAATGACATTGAACTGCAAAATCATCCAAACATATGTGTCATCACAAAAGGCGCAAACTCGCAGCCAGTCTCCATAAATAAGAAAGTAATGGATATATTCCCGCACAGTCAATACAATCCTATACCTCTAGATCTGATGGAACTTTCAAAAAGCCAAATGGCACACATTTGCTAAAAATCTTGATAAAACTATATTCCACCAAGTAGTCAACACTATCATAAATTTATGAAGACAATAATTGCCTTAGCAAAAAACAAACAAACATGTACCTCGACAATTTAGAAGAGTATACATCCCAGAATGGAATGTGGAGATTGGAGGACTCTATCAAATCTTCCTACAGAGTGGTGATTCAGAGATTGCTGACAATCTCTTTCACAGCTTGGATGCAGCTCAACGTAAGAAGTGGGAACAATATACAGAATCACTAAATTTCAGCAAATTCAGCAGGAGATTATTAAAGAAACTGGGTGGAGCTAGACAACCCACCTGACAAACACCCAATGTAACTCTTGACCAAATGGTCTCTCAAGTTGTATTTCTCTCCAAAGCTCCAAGTGTGAAAGGACACTCCACTCTCATCAAGAAAGCGCTTTCAACTTTTTGGCAAAAAGGCTGAAAGTTTTCTGAGTATGCCAGTCCTTCTCTATAAAGGAAATTGATGCTACCATTGACAGTCTGAAATGTGGTAAAGCAGTGTTTTTCAACCTTTTTTGTGCAAAGGCACACTTTTTTCATGAAAAAAATCACAAGGCACACCACCATTAGAAAATGTTAAAATTTTTTAACTCTGTGCCTATATTGACTATATATAAAGTAATTCTCCCACAGCACACCTTACACTATGTCACGGCACACTAGTGTGCCGCGGCACAGTGGTTGAAAAACACTGTGGTAAAGCACCAAGCTTCAATGGAATTCATCCAGAATTCCTGGTAAACTCCAGGAGACACACACAGAATTGTATTGGTAAATTCCTTTCAGACGTAGTTTCCAATGGCTACCTCCCACCAGAATTAAAAAAAACTAAAATAATATCACTTCTAAAATTTGGCAAACCAGAAGACAGAGTTGAAAGCTACCACCCAATCCCTTTTGCTACAAACTCCTGGAACTATTAATTATAAACAGAATAGGTCCCATAATACATGAACATCTGCCTGTAGAACAAGCTGGCTTCTGACAAGACCAGTGTAGTGTAGACTAGGTGCTAACCTTAGTAGCCATATTGAAGCAGGATTACAATGATGTGCTTCCACCTTAACAACAAACCAGCTTATGAAGCTCTGAAGGTTTATTTAAACAACAACTTATTCCCTGTGATCCCCATCTAAGGTACTTTGGAGTAACATTGGACCGGACTCTCTCCTACAAGAAAAACCTAGGGAATACAGTGGCAAGAATCAATAGTTGGAGCAATGTACTCCAGAAATTATGTGGAACTAAATGGGAAACTTCAGCTGCCACCCTCAGGTCATCAGCATACTAGGGTTGGTCATCTCAAAGGTGCTTTTTCAGGAGGCAATCAAACTTTCTTGTTTTTTTCTTTTTTCTTTTAAAGAAAAGTCTGCTTGCCTCCTGAAAAAGCACCTTTGGGACAACCATGACCTGGATGACTGAGAATCTCTGCTAGGGTTGGTCAACTGCACCGCAGAATATTATGCTTCTGCATGGCTTAGCATACTAGTAAATTATGCACCAAACTCAACAACCCCATGAGTATTATAAGCAGATGTATTAAAACCATTCCAACTTGCTGGCTTCCTGTCTTGAGCCAAATAGCGCCACCAGCTTTAAAGCAGATGCGCTAGTGAGAGAATACAGAAAAATTATGAACAACAACTAATGGTGGATCCGACCTTCCTCATTTAACTGAGGAAGATTCAAATCCAGGAAATCCCCCCCCCCTCCTGGCATTTGCAAAACCTCAATTCCAAGTGGAAAGCTAAATGGGTCGCTGAACACTTAGGCATATAAATGACACCACCCCCCCCCAAAAAAAAGATTCCAGGCTTTGAACTACCATCTCAGCAATGGAAAATCTTGAATAGGATTCATACCTACCATCTTGTAGGCCTCTCTGTATAAATGAGGCATAGTATCCTCCCCTGAGTATGATTGCGGGGTCCCACATCAATTTGTAGATCATATCATGACCCGTTGTAAGCTGAGGGCATATACCAATCCAGTATCTAATTTTTAAAAATATAAATAATGCTGTGCTTTAGTGATTAGATGGCATAGACATTGGTATTTGAACATAGATCTTTTTAACATTTATATTTTATTGTGTTTCGTGTTTTGCTAATCTAGGTGAAATATTACTATATATTGCTAGTCCATATATGATATTTAATATGCTAAATAAATAAATCAAAGAAAATGACTGCGAATTCATTTTCTGATATCATAGAATCATAGAGTAGAAAAGGCCTTGGAGGTCTTCTAAGTCAAACCCCTGCCCAATGCTGGAGACCTTATACCTGTGATGGCAAACCTATGGCACACATGCCACAGGTGGCATGCGGAGTCATTTGTTAGGGCATGCTAGGCGTTGCCCTATCAGATCCAGTGCACATGCATGCCCTGAAGCCTTCAGGGGCGAAAAACAACCCAATGCACAAACCTGAAGTTCAGGAATGGACTTCCAGTTTGCACCTTGGGCCGTTTTTTTCCCCTCTTAAGACTATAGCAAACAAAGCAACATCTCATTTAAAATGCATCTGGGAAATATAGTTCTGTGAGATTAGGAATTAAACAATAAAAAGGCTAAATGTTCAGATGCAATATACTTCTGAATGCCAGATACTTGTAAAATTAAGAGTAACTAGAAAGGAGAGTTATATATACAACTATTTTTGCTTTCTATCAGGATGGTCTTTGTCATAGAAATAATGCTGGTTTAGGGGGGAGGAGATGAAGTCATGACGACATGACATGTGATCTCAATGCTCTGAGATCGCAGTCGACACTTTTGTCTCTGGGTTGTCCAAACGGACCTAAACCATCCCGTAGAGACGGTGAACAGGAAGAATACATCTTGCTGATCACAGGGACATTGCAAAGTCCCTGATTGATCCAAGAGAAGCTCTTCAAGCTGGTGACAAAAAATCCAGCCAAATGTCTGATGAAATCAGGGTGGCTCCAAAATGGAAGGATATGGAAAGAGAAAGTGTATTCAGCTGGTGATGAATTTTTACTGTTTTAAACGTGACTACCTTTAAAAAAAACACTTAAAATTAATTTAAATTGGAGAATAGAAGAAATAAGCAGTGGAATTAAATTTGGACTGGTTTTGAACAGGGGGTTATCTTATTTTTTAAATGCTATTTTTATGGATGGAATTTATGCAAGCCTTTTAAAATGAACAGATTAAGTTTCCTTCTTCTATTTTTTTTCTTTGACTATTCTCCATAATCTATGGACTAAAACTCTCCTCTTTCATTACTGTGGGTGTTTTTCTAACTCATTTAAGAATCGGACCCTTTTTTAAAAATTGAAATACAAAAAAATACAAAAAATACAAAGAAATGGTAACATTGTAACATTGTAACGCTGCTATTCGGAAGCTAGATGTTTGTCTATTGGAAACAAAATACTTATTTCACTGATTATCCTGGCTTGGCAATTCAAAGACTCACAGCTTGTTTATAGAGAGTGATAAGAAGAAGAAAAACACACAAATGTTCCTTTGAAGTAGATTCTTAACCAGAGATGTTATTGTGATGCTTAATTCTGCTAAAACCTTCTAAACTAGAGTAGCAGTGTTTGTCAGCTGGAAATCATGGTGCAATTTCAACACCAGAAAGGTTTTAAATCTACAAAAGATATTCTCAGAAATACAGAAATTATCAAATACAAGTGGAGGATGGAAAAGAAGTTGGATTACTTAGTGCATCTAACAGTAAAATATGATGGAGAAGTTGAAGATGTTCATCAAATGGAAAAAGTGGCGGTTAAAATCCAAAAAATTGAAGAGGAAAATGAATGTAAAGAAATTAAAATTGCTGATATTTATGGTGACTGGTTTGTTTATGAGAATGGAAAGAGTGGAATACTGAAAGAGGAATTAAATGGAGGGGAAACCTATCCTAGATGGGAAGATACAGAAGAGGAAAAAATAAAAGAATTTATGGATTTAAAGAGAGAAATCTTATTAGCAATGCTAATGCTTTTGATAACATCACCGACAATCAGAGATAAGCAAATTAAGAAAACAGAAGAAGGGCATCAAAATTACATGAGAGATCTTATAAGCAAAGAGTTGCTAAGAGGAGTCCATACAAAGCTGATTAAGGAGATAATTAGAGGACTGACGCCACAAATGGCAGAAGATATGACACTGTTTTGTTACTGGAAAGATACAGGTTGGTTGGTTGATAGATGGAAGAGTATAATTTAAAACTAGCTAAACTTAGCGAAATTTAGTAATAATAGATATAGTTAAATAAATAGTTGATAATGATAATAATGTATACAATGTGTAATATTATGATAAGTAATAACTGGATATGAATATTGAATGGTACCCATGAAAGGAAGATTAGAAACCCTTTTGAATTATATATAAAGGTTAATAATAATAATAAAAAGAATTAAGTTAGATTCAGTCAAGTCTTGATTACTAGGAGGAAAATGATATGATGCAGGATATAGTCAAATAAAGGAGGGATAATGATAATAACATATGTATGTATGTATGTATGTATGTATGTGTACAATATAAGGAAATGAGATGTAAATTGTAAACAGTGATTTGGAAAGAAGGATAGAAAACTTTGTTATTAAATATTATGGATGTTTAGCTAGAAAAGGATATAAGGATTTAGTGTCATTGGAGGATTTTAGAAATAGTAAATGAAATGCCAGTATGTGGTTATGTATTAAATCTTGGTATATTTTATGATGAAGGACGTTTAAACAATTATAGTCAAATGAAAATGGAGGTATGATGACGGTAACATGTATGAATATCTGAGTTAAAATACTTGAGTTAATATGAATTATGCTTGATGACTGTGGAAAAGATGCACAAAAGTCTTTTGTAACCAACTGATACACTTTCTACAGTATGTAAAAAAGGAAGATTTTAAATGCGTTTGTTTTGAAAAAAAAAAACTTTAATAACAAAAAAAGAAATAATGTTGGATTAGATAGAGATTTGGCCTGGCTGATAGCATTGTAAATTAATCTGCCCTTACATTTTGTTACCAAAAAAAATTCAAACTTTTTCCTCTTGCTAAGACATCTAATAAAAGTGGAATATTTGGAAATAGTGTACATGCTTTAGGATTATCTTTACATAAACAGCATCATATGTTTTAGTACTTTACAAATAACATAAGCGTTTATTTTAAGCTGTAAAATAGCTAACTTTAACAATATTTTAATTTCTAACCCATTTAAAAGGTAAATAAGCTGAAAAACTACAAAGAAAGCCAAATAGAAAAGATTGGCTAAGCTGTCTGATTTTCTTAAAAGAGTATCTGCAAATTCCTGCTGGAATTCCAGGCTTTGCACTGATGGAGCTAGCAATGGATATTGATCTCCCCTTGAATTCACTGAATAAATAATGGTTGCCATAGATATTGAGCATCCACAACTACCGTATAGGGAAGCTAGGAAATTACCAAAACATCTTCTGTGGAAGCTCAGGCCTCAAATCATGGAAAAAAATAATTTCTGTAAAATGTAAGGGTATGCACCATTTAGAATACTTGTTCCTATAACTGTTTTAGTTCCTAACTAGAAAATAAAGTACTATGCTTGATTGTAACTGTAAGATTGGGATCAACTGGAAATGTACTTAACTTCAATTCATGTTCATATACTGGGCTACACAACAGTTACATTAGTACTTCTTTTTTATATAATTAATCACTAACACACTCATTCCCATAATGTGGGTATTGAATTCTTTGTCTGCTATTGCTTTGCAGACCGTCATGGATTAAAAGAACCAAAGAAAGTGCATGAGCTATGCAACAAAATCATGGGCAGCTTGAAAGATCACTTGGCCTTCAACTGTCAGAGCAAACGACAACTCATTGAGTCTGCAGAATCTAAAGTTCTTGGTGTCCTCACTGACTTGCGTGCTGTCTGCACGCTAGGACTGCAGCGGATCTTTTACCTGAAATTGGAAGATTTAGTGCCACCTCCTTCCATTATTGACAAGCTATTTTTGGACACCTTACCATTCTGAAAGTCAAGTTTCCCTTGTGAAAGGCAACTACCTACCAGAGCAGGCAAAAATATCAGAATTGACTTATAACAATGCTGCTTTTGTTAAATGAGGAAAGAAGTAATTCCAGCCCTAATCATATATATGGACTTTTCCCAATATATGTCTTTGTAAACTGAGGTCTAAGATATAATTTACAGTCTTGGAGATGGGAATTATAGAAGAGAAAGATTAAATGCAGGTTTGTTTTTTAATGGCACTTTTTAATGATGCTACTCTAGCCAGAAAAAAATTGTTAATATTAACTGAATAAAAGCTATTTCCATAGCATTTGTTCTTATGTGGTGGATAGAAATTTGTCACTGCAATGTGTTTGAAAACAAGACTAATAACTGATTTCAAGATCATATATTTTATTAATTTATATCTTTATCATATTCATATCAGACCTCATTCTCTTCACATAAATTATTCTCTCTCTTTCTCTCTCTCTCTTTCCCTCCCTCCCTCCCTAATAATGTTTATCCATGATTTCATACAGAAAATATAGTAAAATGACAATGGCTGTTAGCTCTTATGTTCAAGTGCAATTTTAAGGTGCTATCTTTGCTGAGTTTTGTTTATGAGCTGTAATTTAGTTTAATCCAAACGAGAGGTGAAAGAAATAAAATGGAAGAAACTGGCTTTATTACATGCACTAATTTCTAAGACAAAGTTCTTCAAATTTTAGATCAGTGAGTATATGTTGACAGCAAGGCATTAAGCAAAGAGCATATGCTTATTCCTTGGCTGAATAAGTCAATAGCAATGGAGAACATCTGAAATAGGCAGTATTAGCATGGACATAGTAAGGCTAGAACTGAGCTTAGTGAATTAGTAATAGATTCAAGACAATTTGGATGAAAACTTTTGTAGAAATAGATTGAATGTAAATGCTATGAAGGGTTTATTGAGCTGCATTTTAAACATTCCGTGTATGTACTTTCCTTTTTTGTATGTTTACTGTTAATGCCATATTAATATGAAATAATTTGTTGCACAGTGTCTTTATTTTGTATAAATATTTGTATGCATGACATATTGTAAAGATTTACCTCTATTTATTGCAATGACTGCCAGCTCATGGGAGCCTGTTACAAGGAAGATGAAATAGTGTACTCACAACAACTTAGTTATATAATGGGTTTGGATAGTCTCATACACATACACATGTATGTGATCTTTCTGTTAACCAATTAAATATGTAGTATGTCTTGCACAAGTAAACCTGATCTTACCATGTATTTGCAGTGACTTTTAAGGCAGTAAAATTTAGCACTTTGATATTTAAATATTTGTTCATGTTTCACTAACTTTAATATTTAAACATTTTTGTTCTTTCAACAAAAAAAGGATTTATATGCACTGTATCAAGTCTAGTCATTTTGCTACAGAAAAAGATCACTTTTTGAATGTTGCTCTGATAACCCTGTATTTTTGTTAGCTTTAAAAAGTCTACAATAATTTTGTCTTTTTTAACTATGCTGTTTGTATGGAAATTAAATTATACATTCAGATACCAAAATAACTGCCTAATAGCTGCAGCTAAGATAAACTAGATATCAAGCTATTGTCTGGTTCTCAAAAGGTTGCCTGATATTTTCTCATTAAATTTGTTTCAAAGTATTCCTTTGAGGAAATGTTATTCTTTTATCCAGATAATAATGTCAGTAACAAAAACAGCTTCTAATCATTATACTGTACCTAGTATTTTTAATTTACCTGCAGATAATATTTAAAAATGTATTGCTTTTTTGTAATGACATATGATTTATGTCTAAACACAGTAGCAGAATTAAATACCAGAGGACCCTGATTTTTCTTGCAGGTTGATCATACTTGCTAACCCTCCAGACATGTTTTATTTATTATTTGAATTTTTGTACATATTATGTACATAACCTCACTAAATTTCAAAAGGCATGCGCATTTTTTGTCAATTGTGCAGAAGGTATAATAATTATCTTTCTAGAATTAATAGACATTTTTGACATACAATACGTTCATGTTTCATTTGTATTCTTGCCATCATCTGTAGCAGAATGAAGATTCATAGTTTATCACAAAGTTAGGTTTCAAAACAAAAATACCTTGTTCCAAAGTGTTTTCTCTAGATCAGTGGTTCCCAACCTTTCTTTTGGCCATGCCCCATCTAAGCATCTCTAACATCCTAATGTGCCCCCCCCCCACCCCGTGACGTATAATTCCTACTTTACTCAAAAAGTGAACTCCACTCACTTGGAGGAAGGCTAAAAGGCTATTAACTTGGTTTAAACAAGGCTCAAATTGCCTTCATTAAAACTCAAAACTGCCGATCTGTGCGGCCTGGGCCCCACATTGGGAACCACTGCTATAGATGCTCTTTATGCAAAACAAGTTTTTTAAAATTCTGTTTTGTAGTTGCACAATTTTAGAATACCTTGTGATATTTCTGTAACAAGTTTCAGTCTTTTGTAGATTTTTTAATGTCATTATGGAAATCATCCCTCTTAATGATGGAATCTTCTATTTTTTTAATTAATAAAAATGTTTGTGCTTTTATTGTTACTGATAAAGCATGGAAAGAAAGAAAGCTGATTAATCATATTTTAATGTCCACCATTTGAAAGTGCTTTGTCTCTTGTTCTAAAAATCAAGCATTTTACAGCTTTCCAATTAGTACTTTTTATAAAATAAGAGGTTAAGAATACGGTTCAAAAGTTTCTCTGCTTTTCAAACAGCATTTAATGCATATATAAAAGAGAGTATGAGCTTTTATTCATCTGCAGGATTGAAAGAAATGCACTTGTACACTAAGTTAAAATAAGAAATGTCAGTGGCATTTTCCCCAGAGGCATTGTATGTGTAGAATATGTTTAACCATATTAACATTTCATATGGACTATTAGTAGCATAAAAGACTAAAAATGAACATACTCCCATATTAAAAGTAAGGACATATTTGGAATCCTGAAAAATTTGTAGCAAGATCTTTAAAATTGAATGTTGATAAGTGCACTGTTTGTTTAGAAAAGTGAAAAGTAGAATCAATATCCTTTCTCTGGCTATGGTTACTACTAAACCTATAAAGAAAAAAAAACATTGTTGTCATGCAACTTTTTTTTAAAAAAAAAAAAACTTACTTTTTAAATTGATGCTTATTAGCCCCTAGCTCTTCACCTCTCATAGTAATTGACAGTATCCAATATAGAAGCGATATGTGGCTTTTCTTTGTTGAAGCATGACTGGTTTCTTCTATAAGACTAAATGATAATGTGGTTGGTTGTTTTATTTTAGGCCTTAATCTAAATAGGCTCAAGGAATAATTCATGGCTAATTTTTTTTATCGGGGGGATCCTGGTAAACTACAAAAGTGCAAAGTTTGAGTAGTTTCAACACAGAAAAACAAAACAAAAATTGCACAAAACCAATTAGGCTATTTTTGTTGTCTGGGAGTGGGTATGATATATTTCTAACTTATTTTAAAGGGTGGGGGTTGTCAAAATAAATCATAAGTACATTTGATTTTTGAATACATGCAATCTACTAAGTGCTACGAGATTTACAAGCCTGAAACAGATTGTGATTATGCAGTTTTATTCAATAAACAAATAATACTCTATGAATAAAATGTAATGTAAGCAGCAAAACTGACCATTTAAAGATTAAAGTGACCATTTAGATAATCAAGAAGCAGTTTCAGTTTTTTTTTTTAAAGTTCTTTGTTTTTCTACATTAAATGTATACAAACTTGGCAGGAAAAATCTGGTCGATGCCTACAAGAAGATGCAGCAAAAAAACTATGCTGCCAATTTTGCAGCAAATGTACTGTATGATAGTCCTATTCTAGAACTAAACTGCCCAATACTGTATTCTGTCATTATAGATTCTTTCTGAGTAAATAGTGTTCTAAAAATCAACAAGATGTCTCCTGACTGAAACATATAAATAATTAACCATCCATTTATTATTATCTATTATTACATATGAAACTAGAAATGAAAATATCTAATACAATTAAGGAATCTTTCCAAGCAGAAGGGCATCTTTCTGCTATATTACAATAGCATTGTTTATATAAATATGTAGATGTCAAACATTAACTGAAATATATATTTTAACACTCATTTCTATCAAAATAAAATTGATTGCTTAATAAGCATATAATTTTATTTGAAGCAATATATTGCTGAATATAAGCAGCAAAACTAAATTATTGTAAAGTATTGATCACATTTTTGTTAAACTGAGGTAAAGGGAAGGGTTGTGATTCTACTACCGTATTTGTGCTACAAGGTTTTGAAATTAAAATTTATATCCCTATATAAACCAGTTTTAACAGTTCACTGTAACTGAGAAATAATTTATTAATTTAGTCAGATTTCCTGCTCGTTAAAGTGTTGAGGACTGCAATTATCACAAGGAAAGTAAGGGAGGTATGAAGATTAGTAATGAGACTGCAGAATAGCCTTAAGTTTCAACAGTTAGCTATAGCATGAATCAAACCAATATGCTGCAATGAATACTTTTTCCTAAACCACCAGAGTCTCTACAAACATATAGAACTGGATCAAATATAGACCTCAACTACATTTTTCATGTAAATTATTTATACATGTTTATGGCAGCTATCAACAACATAGGCAAGAAGGGAGAGACTAAACAACTACTTGTTGGAAGAGAAGGTAGATCAAGAGTAGCAAAGGAAGGAAATAGTTTCCAGCTTTCTAGATAATCTATAATGGCATCAGATGATAACATGTGAAGTGTTAATATTGCTTTATATTGCACTGGTAAAACCATACTTCGAATACTGCAAGCAGTTTTGGTCACCAAATTACAAAAAAAAAAGACATTGAGAGTTTGAGACTCTAGAAAGGGCATAGAGAAGAGCAGTAAAGGGGATTTGTTGGAGACTAAATCATATAGTTTGTAGAACAGTTGTAGAAACTGGGTGGGTATGTCTAGTCTAATGAAGAGAAGGATTAGGGATTAGACTAGTAGTCTTCCAATATTTGAAGCATATTTGAATATTTGAAACAGATACAGAGGAGGGGCTTGACCTATTTATCTGAGGGCTGCGCAAGAAGTAATGGTTGGAAACTTATCAAAGAGAGATCCAATCTAGAACTAAGGAGAAATTTGCTGTCAGTAGGAACAATTAACCAACGAAACAACTTGCCTCCAGAAGTTGTGGTTGCTCCACCACTGAGGGTGGGATGGGGTTAAAAAGAGATTGGATAACCATTTATTCGAAATGGTATAAGGTCTCCTGCTTGAGCAGGAGGTTGGATTAGAAGAGGTCTAAGGCCCCTTCCACTGGAAGCTTTGAAAAAGAAGATGCATACATAAAAAATAACAAATGCAAACAAAGCCAGAATTGAGAAGACAGCAACAGATAGCAAGTCTGCAAAGAAGCTGAAGAAACAATTGACCCATTGGTTAGCTGTTGCAAGAAGATTGTGCATTTTTAATACAAATAATG